TTTTCAAAGCTTGTTACTATTTTTAATTTTCAGGAATTTGCTTTAAACATCATTCTCATCGCAGAGAAAATTATTCGTCTTTTATTTAAATTCCTTTTCCATAATATAAGTAAAGTTACTTAAGCCTTTAAAAGTTATAGGATTTTATTTAAGGATTATTGAGTATTTTTTGCATATAAGCTTTTAAATTTATAAACATGCTGTGTATTGGAATAACTGAATTTTCTGATTTAAGTGGCTTGTTACAAAAACATAAATCTCTCTTGAAGCATCGATTTAAACGAACGATTTATCGACACATATAATGGAGCTTCAAGAAGGAAGAAAATAGTTATTTTTATGAACTAACTATCATTGTAATGAACCTTGTTGTTCCTTCCTGTTTAACATACTGACGCATCAATAGCTAAGAAAAAATATATCGAAAATACATCGATGCTTATGACACAATGATATTAATGGCTTCTATAGATACACTTAATTAAAACACTAAGTGAATGCAACGTGCATGATTCAATTTGAAAATATATATTTACATAACAGTATTAAGGCCACAGTTCCCTTTCGTTTTCATAAAAGTCTATAAACTCCATGTGGCACTTCTAGTATACTTTCAGAACGCTCAAGAGGAATTAAAGTACACTTGAACACTATTAGACAGTTTTATGGAAATTAAGTAACTGAATGTAATGTAAGATCTCATGTATAATGAATGTGTATATTAAATCGTTTGAAATCTATTATTATAAATACCTTTTATATATATTGACGATATATGTTCTCAACATAATTAACGGTAACGATTAAAAATGTTGATGAAAAAAGGTTATTTGCATTCATTAGTATCCACTTAAATTAATTATAAATTCTGTCAAAGACAGTGTAATATATGTTGTAAGTACTTTTTAAATTTTCTAATCTAATGTTTCTATTCCATTTAATTTCAATATTTAAGAATAACTCTTAGATTCTTCGCGAACTTATTGCTAGATCTTTTGATACAATCTTTATAATCTGTGCTTTTATCTATCATTATATCATATTTCCAATGTGAACCTACGTAAGCTCTAAGTAGTCCCTATTGAAAACAAATACATTCGCTGCAATCCCATTCTAAGATCTTCACCGACATAATCTCTTACGAGACGAAAAAGCGAGGTGAGAGAAAGGCGGCGTAAGGAAAGTTTCTTCCGCTAATGGGAAACAAAGAGGGCCAGATCATAGCTAGACCCCCCGGAGGCATGAACCGAGGATCGAGGTTACTTTATTTTCGTACAGCCGAACTATGCGCATAACTCTTGTATGTACGAATCTGAGCGCCAAGCAACCGCGAGTACTGCCGTATGAGTTATACGGGGGCGAGTCTAACGTAAGGGAATTTTGCGCTTTGTAATGCGCACTGACACACCGTAGCTCATGCTAGTTTTGCATCATCCTCCGCTGCTTTCCTTACAATTCGCGCGTGATATTCTCGCTGCTCTTCACTGATTCAAAAGATATACTTCAAGCTCATGCTGCAGCGCTTTATATATCTGTAAGCTTATGCGCGCACGAGCTTACTAATTTAACGGATCGTATGAAATCGGTAAATCGTTGAATTATTTGTACCCTGATGACAATATTACCCGCTCTCGTTACGATCTTGAAATATATTTGTATTTTCAATGATTTATAGCTTATTCTGACAACTTTATTTATTTCCCAATGCATTTTGAGTTTGAAGTTACATTCTTTATTGATTCAATTAATACTACATTTGGCATTACTTGAAAGTTTCTTTTATTGTCATGCATATTGTCCTTTTCAATTCAAATATTTGTTTACTTTCATATTTTATATCGAATATATTATTAGGTTTCGCAGGTCAAATCGCAGGTTAAATGATTGTCGAGTGCTTTTGTCTAACTAACGTTTCTTCAAATGGGACACAACAAATATGAATTTTACAAACGAAGCCATGAAATTTGGAAATTAAAGTTTTTGATTCTTTAACCTGCCGTTAGAATTAAATAATATTCGGACAATCATAATTAATTATATTTATTAATTTTAAATGAGCAATATATATTATATTCAAGTAACTACAAGACAAAATAAGATTATGTAAATATTAAAAAATATTAATTTCATAAAGTTTTTTGTCACAGCTGAAAAATAAATCACATTGAATGAATCGCACATTATATTTGTGTAGTTACGAGCTGATTTGCTTTATAAAATTTAATTACAAATTTGAAACTAGTAATTAGCCAATTATTCTCTATAAGATTACATACTATTCCATATCATTAATATTTTTAATACACAAATACACACGTTTGCGGTCGCAAACGCATACGCGTACGCGCGCATACACTCGCATCCATCTACATACATACGCAATAGTGAATTCAAAATTATCAATTATCGGTATTGTATTTTTATAATAAAATACGATAAGTTGACTATTGTTAATTCTAGACTTTAAAATAATTAAGGCCGAATGATTCGTCTATAACTTTTTAAATATCATAATTCGTTAAAAGTACACAAATTCTTAAGTAATTAATACAAATGTTTATTATAATGCCTTACTGCTTAAACTAAATATTTGCTTTATAAATAGAAAACTGTCTTGAAATTGTTATTCTCTTTAAATCTATTATTAATAAAGTTTCTCGGAAGCATCTAAAGGGCATTTCGTATTTACAACGAGTTTTTTTTTTGTCTTCATGCACTCGACACTGAGCTGCAGAGCTTACTTGTGTAAAAAGTAAGTGTCGAGGAGAGGGAAATCGACGTGTGTGTCTCTTCTATCTTTCTCATCGCCGCGTACTTTAAGAGAGCTACACTTCCATTTATAAATATATCTTTCTCTGTAGAAGCTGCCCGCTTTCTTGTCTACCCCCCTTTGCCTTCCTTTTCTCCCTCCATCCCCGTTCGCGGCCTTCCTGCTCCCCCCCCCCGCCCGCTTTCTCGTACATACACTGCAACCCCATATCTTCTTCTCTTTTTCTCTCTTAAACAGCATTCGCTCCTCGCCCCCCTCCCCGCCCCTCTCTCAACCACCATTCTCCTTTATACATTTGACCAGTTATTTTTGTCGCGCTCGTTCAACTTTACGAGATGTTACGACTAAAGCGGACGATTTATCGAGTCGATTTGATCCTACCACCATGCAAGCTTCTAGGCTGTCTTTTCTCCACATTTCGCTCTCCTTTAATCTATTTCTCACACTTTCTTCACTGCCTATCACGTTCCTTTATTTTTGATTTGTTTTATTCTACTACGCGTACGCGTGTACTTTTCACGATAGGCATGATGTTATGATTTTTACTTTGCAATCAAAACATCGTATTTATAAATTTATAAATTTATCGTAAATTATGGATTATTTCTTAGGATGCATATATGACATTACACGGTATTCATTTAAACATTCGGCAATCTAATAATAATTTAATTTCTGTACTACAATAAATTTGGCTAACTAAATTACTATTTGATTCATTGTCAAACGATGAATTTATACTTTATTAGACAATCATAAAGCTATATAGAAAATATTTTTAATTTTCCAATGAAACGTAAATAAAGTATACCAACAGTAATTTATGATTTTTGCTTATAAGACTTTATATTTTCAAAATTTAATCTAAAACATTTGTTAGTTATATATATATATATGTATATATATATATATATATAACATAAAATTCATTATAATTTTCATGATTTTATATTATATTATGTATTACTTCTTGTATTATTTTCATATACTATATTAATGTAAAATAATCATAACCTAATAGTGTAAATTTGTATATTTACCAATTTAATTCATATCTGCTTTATATAAACATGAAATAATTGAAAATTTTATTGCATAATTACAAACATACATTAAAAGTTTGATTTTATAACTGAATCGTGACCATGCATGATACTATGTATACAAATGAAACAGATATTACGTTAAATACACGAGTGAAAAATAATGAAAACATAATTCACACGTAGTATTCAAGACTCATTATATCGAAAAGTTATTCTCCATGTGACAAGTTTTCTTCTCGAGAAAATGTGGTGTAGACCTACACAATTTAGGTTGCATAGATATGCATATATTTGCGTTGACGTTGAAATATACCCAGTTGACGTCGATCTGTCGCCGAGAAAAATGGATAAGACGCTGTACTAGAATTATATTACAGGATAAATGAGAAAGATAGGGTCATGAAAGAGATTGAAAGTCTAAAATATTTGTTTCGAACAATTAAGAATGAAAAATTCTTTATGTGAATTTAGCCGCTAAATTTATTTTATATTTGTAAAATAAACTAATTATATAACTTTAAAAATAGAATAAATTTATATATTAACTATTTGCATGAATTTATCCTTCTAATAGTCGCAGCTGGTAAAATTTATAACTTATGCTGTGACAAAAATAATTACGCAATAAATATTTAAAAATTTATGTAAATATGTTTTATAAAATATAATTAAATATGAATTTTTGTGTATATTACTGTTACTAATTAAATTTACAGAGAATAATATATATTTGGAAACATATTGTTTCCAAATTTAATCAGTAGAAATAATATGAATTTCATGTACATATATATGTATATATAAACTTATTGTTTACAAATTTAATCAGTAGATATAATATAAATTTAATTAGAATATTATATACGGTACATTGAAAATTGCTTTTTAAAATTAATATATTCTCTAACTTAATTGAAGTTTAAACTTAATACATAATTTTTAACCACTTTTATGATGCAGTTAAATCTCATTATCTTAAAATATGCTTTTAATATGTAATAAAATATTAATTCATATTTACAAAATTCTTACGAATTGCATTGGAAAGTAATGTATTTCTTATCATTCCTATATAAAATTTAAAAAGACCCTTTCAATAATTTCAATTTAAACTATACCTTTTAAAATTACTAGATTGATATAATAAAGCTTTTACAATACTGTTAAAATTTCTTTACTTTCAGTTTACGATCAAAATACAGAAGGAGCAAATGATAAAAATTCTGGCAGTAGCTTAGACTGCTTAAACTTAATAGTTCAAAGTATCAGTGATGCAACACCAACGAAGACATCAATAACGGCAGCTAATGCGAAGCAGTATTCCGTCCAATATTAGACTATTTAACTTTTTATACCGAAGCTACATAAAAATATATTTTAGATAATAGCCATCTACGAATCGTTGATTGATGTAATATAAATAAGAAAATGTCTAGGATAGGCATACATTTCGTCTATTTGCCTAGGAAATGAGAATCTTATGAATCAAATTCACGTCAATTAAAAATTTTATTCTGAGCTCTCAATTCAACCCAACGCTAATTAATTTCATAGACTAGTTTAATGATTATTTATAGTAGAATGTATTTTAAGAAAATTGAATTTTCCTTCGATTCTTGAGTGTAAAATAATCATTATCCAAAAATATGTTACAATCTTAAATTTATTGGTCAAGTAATTTATGTTTTGTGTATAAATACATAAAAATTTAGCCTTTTTGTGCAGATATTTTCCTTTGTCATTTTTATGCATTTTACCTGCTAAATATTGCAATAACGTCGGAAAATATTTTATTTATTTATCTTATTCGCTGAGATTTCTGCCAAAATAAATTTTTAAAGAAATGTTATAATACATATACATTTATTCATTTACGTTTAATATCCAGTACGATTAAAACAAATTCATTTTAATTTCTGTATATATTTTCATATAAATAATATAAAATGCTTCACTTTTTATTTCATGTGAATTATCTTTTAAGCTGTTTCGACCAAACCTTAAGAAAACTGAATATTTTAAAACTGATTCTTCTAGAATAAGTGTAGAAATACCTAACAGTGTATATATCATTTAGAGTGATATCTGTTAACACGTTAATAAATATCAAACTATATTTTAAGATTATATTAATAGATTATTTTTAAAGAATATTGTCATATAAAAAATTTATCTTTATATATAATTGGATGGAAAAAATCTTGAAAATAAATGAATAAATTTTTACTTGTAAATCTGACTGCAAATAATTTATCGTCGATATTTGTCTTTCAAATTTAAATGTCTAACGAATATATTGATAAGGCCTTTTTATTATTATTGATTTAAATTTAAAAATATTTATAAACAATACTCAATATTAAATAAATATTTTTAAATCCTGACGTTTAAAAATGAAACTTTAATTTATTCGAGTAATAATATATCATTATATTCGCAAAATATTACAAGTGTAGACTATAATATACAAGTTCATGTATTTTTTAAAAAGTGAATAATAGAAGTGTGTTTATATACTATTATTTGTGAACTATGAAATTTCGTTTTCTTTTTTACAATAATAATAATTATTATTATATCATTGATATTAAAAAATACTTGTATAAATCTATAAATTATAAATTTTTTCAATAATTTCCTCAATATTAAGGATAAATTTGTTGATATATATTATATATGAAAGCTTTAAGTAATATTTAATTTTCAACTAAATATGATAAATGCCGTTGGAATAAACAATTTAATAATGTCTGAACTAAAAGTAAAATCTAAAATTCTTTTAAAAAATCATTTATACTTTGCATCATTGATCTTCTCCTACGATGGTTTATACTTTTAAAATTCAACGAATGTCTACCTCGTCGCAATTTTAATACATACGACAAAAATCATATATCACAACATTAAAATGAAGCTCATCATACTAAGTATTCTCATATCTTCACATGATGTATTCATATTGTGAAGTATATTTATGTTTAATTTCATCTATATAATAAGTCCAACAACCTATGCATATTCGTTTAATTACATATCAGGATACAAAATTCTTTTTCCATTATAAACTTATAGTCAGTCCCATATTAAATTATGCTATCTATGTTAACAAAAAATAAAAGAAATATTATAATGTATATTTGGACGAATATTTAATGTGATACTTCTTATTGAAACGTTTATTTTGAAAGATCTTTATATAGATATTGATGATATAGAGTGAACAAGATTTTTAGAAAGAAACGATGTAATCAAGTTGAAAAGTTGCAGTTGTATATTAAGATATTTGAAGATGTATCAGCCTAAAATAGTAAATGACTATTTTGATTTCGTTTCTCTTAAGCCACTGAAAAACTTTCTGATACATTAGTGACAGAGATTTTTGTAGGCGTAGCTGGCAGAAAATATTATACTTGTACAGATATAATAATTCTTGTTTGAAACGTTTAGTTAAACTTAATATTACAAAAAATCAAATAATTAGATAAAAGTTCTTATTATATTTAATGGATCGATTTGCTTCGTGTAAATTTGTAATTTTTTCTTTAATACGAACAATAAAGAGACAATAAAATTATAAAAAATTCAATAATGCATTCATTAACCATAATTACAGTTTATAAAAACTTATTTATTAAGCATTGACATTTTTACGAATGGCAATAATTTATTAAATAATTGTAATAAATAGTGAAATGTTAAAAAAAAAAAAACTATATAATTGAAATGAGGTATTAAATATTGTCAAATCTGCGTTTATAATAAATTAGTGTTTGTAAAATAAAAATAAATACATCACATTTTCTTATTTATTTAAAAATTTTTCAATAGCTTTTTATTCTTAAAATAAAAAGATGATTTTACCACGTAATATTTATACAAGAAAAAAAAAATGAACACAACTTTGATATTGTATGTGAATGAAATTGATTGAAAAATAATATTAATAAATAATACCTAAATTCGAAATTATTATGAAAATATTTAATATTTTTACGAAAGGATTACAAGAAAAAATATATAAAAAAATATATCGAATATAGTTTCAACGATATTGTTCTATTGTGACAATTAAAACTAATGATACCATGTAAATAACAATAAAACAATTACATTAGTAAATAAGAATATATAATGATAAAAAAAAAAAAGAAAGAAGAAATTATGACGAGGTGTGACGGATGGAAGGAGAAAGATAGATAGAGAGAAACAGCAGAGAAACGTACGTGTATATTAGCCATTCAAGGTTGGAGTCGTAATATATGAAAAAGACTTATGTAAGTGATTGTCAAGAATGCGAGCGAAAGAGTAGTTGAAAATCATATGAATAGGATGCCTGTCAATTATACAGCAAATGTAACGAACATAATTGATTGTAAATAAAAATTACATTTTCACTACTGTTTCTAATATTGTATATACTTTTTATATTATAAACTATTCGATTCTGCAGCCTAATTTTTTCATTATATATTAATACATTTGAATACAATTAATACAGTCATTTTTACACTTTCCAACTAACCAACTTCACTGTTAATTATAAATAATTTATATAATAGTACAAGATAACTTGGGCAAATATAGAATAATAAAATATGCATTTATATATCATAATGTATGGATAAATCGATGTAGGATATATACAAAATTGTTTTTATTTAAAATTGATTTTAGAATATTCCAACTGTTGGGATCAATTTGTAAGCAATTGCAAGCTATCTTGACGCCTGAAAGGAAAAAAAAAACAGAGTATATACAAATGGATAAGAGTGAAACGGGGGTATGAGAAAACGTGAAAGAAATGTATAAGAGGGATACCGATACAGGAAACAAGAAGACGAAGCATAAGCGTGGCATCTGCAGCCATCGATCAGCACTTGAAAGTGTAACCATAACTCTATAACTCTTCGTAGGCACCCAAGTATCCTATCTACACTGCTGATCCTGTCAAACGCTTTCTTCCTCTAAGATGTCCCTCGACCCCACCCAGCCTATTAGCTACGCATACATCCGCCAACCCCACTCTCTACCAAGCGACGGCGCACTTCCTCTTCCTCCACTACGCACTATGCTGTCTTTAAACCTCACCGCCTCACATCTATCTGTCATCGACGCAAAGCCCTTATAATTAATTACCGATTAAGTATCCAAGAAAGTCAGATTCCAGCGTTCGCTTTGGAATCTTCGTACCTGAAATGCTCGGCTAATGCAAGTCTCAACTGATCCAATGTACCAAGGATAATTAATTCATTGATTCTCGAATTAAATCGAAGGGTTTTTTCTTATGTATTTATAAATCAATATAATATACTTTCTTCCTTTAACTTTTTTTTTTTTAACGGTAAATAATAAGTCCCTTTTATTCTTAACATTGATAATAATTTAGAAAATATGTTAAAGAAATGCTTTAAAACACAATAATAGCATTTAGGTTTCAAAATACGCATTTTTCTTCCATTTCATTCATTAGTGGTTTAAAACTGCTTTCAATAGCTTCTTTTACAAAAAAAAATGTTTAAGAAACAAAATTAATAAATTCTTAAATAAACTAATAAACTAAATATTCATTTAGTGATATGAATGTTCATTTTTTATTTACAATTCAAATATCCTTCGAACATATAAAATATACGAAATCCATAGCTTACCGAGCAAATAGTATGGAATGCCACATAGAACGAAATGAGTATATTAATAGATTATTAATAGACATTTTTTACAAAGTGAAGAGGGTTTCGATGGCTTCAGTTTAACGAAAAAAAAAAATGTCCTTAATATAATGTTTTTATTTAAAAATTTATTTTAAATAAAATATTAGTAAAATCCGTAAATTAAAATGTTATTGTTAATATGCTTTAACTTTATTATATATACAAACATTAAAATCTCGAAAAACGGTAATTAACAAATAAGAGAATTGAATAGTTCAAGGAGAGAAACTTAACTGTTGATATGTTATTTTTCATTTCAAATTGTACCGATGAATTTTAAGATTTATTTTCAAATAAATTTTTTAATACATTTACCGTGGAATATAAAATTTATTTTTAGTATATAAATGACAATAGATGTATAAATCTTTCTTTAAAAGAATTTTTATTGGTGAGTATCGTGAAAATTAAATGTAATACCATTATAACTGAAAATATGTTATTGATTGTTTTTTATATTTTTTACATTTAAAAATATCTAGATAATAAACACTTTACATTAATTAAAGTACGTTTAGATAAATAGAGGAAACATTTGAAAATTATATCAACTGCTAATGAAACTGAATATTTCAAACTATCTTTATTGAAATTGTGTTAATGAATACTTTAAACAAAAATTCCATCTTATTTCAATAATAATTAACGTCCCAAGTATTTATTTAAAAATAATAATGTATTTCGACACGAATTGGAAATAATAATTATGCTAATGCAAGTTTTCGTAAAAAATTCATCAATATTTCAAAATTTTTATTGTATAGTTAATTATTATTGATGATCGAAATGTAAGATAATCAAGTTATAAAATATCTATAAA